AAAGAAATAATCTGTGGACATTTATAATTAAGAAACTATAGAAAAAAGTAAATATGTGTGATAATGTTATGTGGGAAAAGTACACATCCCTTCTCTCTCACACATACATTACATAAAAGGATGGGCATACTAGTACTACAAATATGTCAACACATACAGGTAACAAATGTGAAAAGAGAATAGTGCAATTATGGACGACTCTTCCAGGGTAAAAAATTTTAAAGAAATAAATACCTTGGCACAACAATTTTCCATTAAATAAATGTTTTAAAATATCTTTTTTTTTTTTAAGCTATAGTCATCAAGACAGTATGGTACTAGCACAAAAACAGACACATAGATCAATGGAACAGAATAGAAAACCCAGAAATGGGTCCACAACTATTTGGCCAGCTAATCTTCAACAAAGCCAGAAAGTATATCTAATGGAAAAAAGTCTCTTCAACAAATGGTGTTGAAAAAACTGGACAGCAACATGAAGAATGAAACTGGACCATTTTGTGACAAAAAATAAATTCAAAACGCACAAAATAAATTCAAAATGGATGAAAGACCTAAATGTGAGACAAGAAACCATGAAAATCCTAGGGGAGGGGCGCCTGGGTGGCTCAGTTGGTTAAGCGACTGCCTTCGGCTCAGGTCATGATCCTGGAGTCCCGGGATCGAGTCCCACATCAGGCTTCCTGCTCAGCAGGGAGTCTGCTTCTCCCTCTGACCCTCTTCCCTCTCGTGCTCTCTCTCATTCTCTCTTTCTCAAATAAATAAATAAAATCTTTAAAAAAAAAAAAAAGAAAATCCTAGGGGAGAACACAGGCAGCAACCTCTTTGACCTAAGCCATAGCAACTTCTTCACTAGACACATCACCAGAGGCAAGGGAAACAAAAGCAAAAATGAACTATTGGGACTTGAGCAATATAAAAATCTTCTGCACAGTGAAGGAAACAATAAAACTAAAAGGCAGCCTATGGAATGGGAGAAGATATTTGCAAATGACCTATCTGATAAAGGGCTAGTATCCAAAATCTCTAAAGAACTTAACAAACCCAACACCCAAAACCCAAATAATCCAGTTAAGAAATGGGCAGAAGACATAAATTAGACATTTTTCCAAAGAAGACATCCAGATGGCCAACAGACACATGAAAAGATGCTCAGCATCACTCGTCATCAGGAAAATATAAATCAAAACCACGATGAGATACCACCTCATACCAGTCAGAATGGCTAAAATTAACAACTCAGGAAACAACAGATGTTGGCAAGGATGCAGAGAAAGGAGAACCCTCTTACACTGTTGGTGGGAATGCAAACTGGTGCAGCCTCCCTGGAGAATATGGAGTTTCCTCAAAAAGTGAAAAATAGAACTACCCTATGATCCAGCAATTGCCCTACTGAGTAATATTCCATTGTGTGTGTGTGTGTGTGTGTACACATATATATATGTATACACACCAATATGTATACACACCACCTCTTTATCCATTCATCAGTCGATGGCTATTTGGGCTTTTTCCATACTTTGGTAATTGTTGATAATGCTGCTATAAATATCAGGGTGCATGTGCCCCTTTGAATCAGTATTTTTGTATCCTTTGGGTAAATACCCAGTAGGGCAATTGCTTATGCTAAGCAAAATAAGTCAGAGAAAGACAAACCTTATGATTTCACTCATGTGGAATTTAAGAAACAAAACAGATGAACATAAGGTAAGGGGAAAAAAAGAGAGGGAAGCAAACCATAAAAGACTCTTAATTATAGAGAACAAACTCAGGGTTGATGGGGTGGGGGCTGGCCGGGTGATGGATATTAGGGAGGGCACTTACAATGAGCACTGGGTGTTATATGTAAGTGATGAATCACCAAATTCTACACCTGAGACCAGTATTACACTACATGTTAACTAGAATTTAAATAAAAATTTGAAAAAAATATTTTTAAAGGAGACTTTGCAAGTTTAGAGACTAAAAATGAAGCACACAACTGGGAAACAAAATCACCATTTATTGAACAATTCTTATATATTAGCACTATTAATTATGTATGTATTAGCTATATTAAGGCATATATTATATTTATACTTAATCTTCCAACATAAGTATTATTGTTCATATTCTACAGAAGAAAAATTAGGCTGTTTATTTCACTTCCTAAAATGTTTCCTCAGATGTCACCTTTTTAATGAGGTCTTCCCTGGTCAACCTATCTAAAATTGCAAACCCACCCTCTGTCCTGAATTCCTTATTTATCTGCCCTGCCTTAAATTCTGCATGACATGTATCACCTATACAATGTAACCTATTTTTTTTTTATCTCCCCTTATGAAAATATAAGCTCTGCAAGGCAGAGATTTTTTTTCCTCTGTTCTCTTCTGAAACCCCAGCACCCAGTAGAGGACCTGACACAAAGTAGGTATCAATAAGTATTTGAAAAATGAATAATGAATGAATGAAAGTACAGCTGATGCACTGGTGAGTTTCTATGAGTTAGTTCTGAAAGTCTGTCCAACTCAAAGCCTTTCCATGTGTTTATACCAGAGTTGTTGAGTGTGTTTGTGTGTGTGTATTGCATAGAAGTTTATCAGGAAAGAAATGAAGTAAGACTGGTGACAAGGAACTAGGAAATGAAGGTGAGACAGAACATCTATCTGGAGAAAGACAATGCCATTCTTTAGGATGTGCACACAAAGTGTGGTTATTATCTTTTTTTTTTTTAACTTCTCATAGAGTCTGATGATACAGGCTCTTACTGGCTTTGAACGTAGGAGAACAGACAACTAAAGCTGAACTGCATGATGAGCTGAGTCTGAACTAAGGTATGTTTCCCCCAAGGAGGTCTCTTGAGTTCTAAAGCTATATGGACAATGAGGCTAAAAGCCAATTGGGAAAACTCTGGAAAACAAAGATTTCAGCAGCCCCAAAGTACTGAGGAGATAGAATTGGAATTCAGGTCCCACCAAGAAGAGGGGACCAGTATACATTCCCGACTCGTGTGGAATACCTGAAAGGCTAGGTCTTAGGAGCAAGGAAAACCAGAGTCTGAACCTTTGTCTGTACCTCTGTCTCATCTCAGAGATAATCACCCACCCCCACCCTGTGTGTGCGGGCGCGCGCGCGCATACACACACTCTCACACTCTCTCTCTCTCCTTATCGGAAACAAGAATGAGTCTCTGGCCAAAGATAACATCACCCAAAGCCTTTGTAGTTGCCCTACATAATGTTGGGCATTCAATTACATTATGGCACGAGGAAAGAGACAACCAAATAACAAAAGAAAATATCAAACAACAGAAACACACACAACGTTAATCCAGGTACTGAAATTAACCATCTAAAGTCCTTATAAGCTGTGATTAAATTAACATGTTCAAGAAATAGAGGAAAAGATGGCAAATACAGATTTTTTAAATTACAAATTCCACCAAAGAATATAATTGAAAAAGAAATAAAACAGAAATTCTAGAATAGAAAACTATAACAAAAACTAAAATTAACCCAATAGATGGGCTTTAGCAGATTAAGCCCAGGAAATTTAGTAAACTGGAAGACAGATAAATAGAAAACATCCAGTATCTAAGAGTTTAGTGTATATTAAAAAACAGTTTTAGGGGACAGCATCATTGATTTTTATGAATGATAATAAAAATAGTAACATACTAGTATGTACTTGCAACTCTTCTAGGCACAGTATATTTAATCCCTATAAAACCAATGAGGTAGGTAATATCCTATTAATATCTCCCTTTAACAGACAACAAAACTGAAACAGAGTGTAGATAATTTTGCAAGCTAGTGAATGGATAAGCCAGAATTTGAACTCAGGCAGTTTGACCCCAAAGTCCATGTAATCAGTAAACTATACTGCAGTGATTAACAACGATTGAAATTTGGTGAAATTATTTATATTTCTTACTATCCTCTTAAATCCCTCTCAGCATAGTTAGATGGAATTACTAATTAGTGACTGCTCTAATGATGATTTTGTAAGCAATTTAAAATTAATTATAAGTTGTGCCATGATGCTTTTATATGGCCCATCAGAGAAAAGCTTGGTCAGTTGGCCCCATAGGTACAGCAAGGTAGTGACTCAAAATGCAGGTTAGCATAGGAGGAAAGAAATACTCTCTACAGTATCAGCCTTGAAAATTCAAACCTATAAAATGACAGCCCATATAATATAAAATTATGGAAGAGAAATATTCAGCACAAATACTCAAAGAAAGAAATGGTAGAACTATCTAAAGAGAGAACTTCTTACAAAACCCACATGGGACACAGAGAACTCCTCTCAAAGAGTGCATGTGATAGCAGAGTTTAAGCTGGACTGAACTCATATACCAATGTGGGATTAGAGTATAAATTCTGAAACTATTCTAACAAGAACATCTTTCTGTTCTCATCATTTGTTGAGAAAGCCACCAAGAAGGCTTCTCTTTGGCCAAATGCCCTTTTTGATTATCCAGAAGAAGAACTATAAAATTAATTTGTAGTGAGGAAAAAACTAAAAATGCTTGGGGAAACCGCTTCCTTCACCTCCTGGCATTTTGCCATTAGAAATAAAGCTCTTGCTATAAAATGTTTTAAGTTCAAGAAAAAATGCCTCCTATAATGCACTTTTCTGTCTTTAGACATCTAGACCCAAAAGATTTTGTAAAGTCCATGTTTGTGGTCTTGATTTTTAGGAAACATTTTAAAAGTTCTGCTGATAATGTCTGCAAGGCTAACGCACTCTGGACAATGTTACTCTGTGTACTACCTGTAAGGTGGGCAAAGCATCAAACCGGGGTTTTGGCTTCTGAAAGAGGCACAGGCACTCCATGTTCTTCCCAGGCATATCCAACCATCACCTTTCATAACAGTGAGAACCTACCACATTTCCAGAAAACATCTAAGACTAAATTTTGGAAAGTTCCGGTCACAGCACAAACTTAGGTTCTCTAATGAGAACTTAGAGAAAGTTCTTCAAACAACAGAAAACATTTAAAAAAAAATAATGCTTACCTTTGAATATTTCTGTAACTCGGCATCATCTGCAATCTGCGTATCCAAAGTAGCCACCTAAATTTGCAAGAAAAAAAGATCTCCAATATCTGTAAAAGCATAACTTTATTTCTTCTTAGGTTTTCTAAAAAAAAATCTGTAAACCCTATATATTGATAACACCATCTGATATGCATTATCATCTTTTTCCAATATTTCTGAAATCCAGACACACAATAATGTAAAATTTCAGAGATTTTTTTGTTGTTGTTACTGTTTTCTATAGCAATCTTTTTTTTTTTTTAAAGATTTTATTTATTTATTCATGAGAGACAGAGGGAGAGAGAGAGAGAGAGAAGCAGAGGGAGAAGCAGGCTCCCAAGGAGCAGGGAGCCCGATGCAGGACTCGATCGAGGACCCTGGGATCATGACCTGAGCCGAAGGCAAATGCTTAACCATCTGAGCCACCCAGGCGCCCTTCTATAGCAATCTTCTCCCCTAAATTACTCAGCTGAACCAGAAGGGGATGGGCATAACACATACAGTATTTTTAAAAATCCATGACCCCTAAAATTTTAATACAATCCTCTGTTGTAAGGAGTCCATACAAATTTTATCCTTTTTTTTTTTAAAGATTTATTTATTTTGAGAGAGTGAGAATGAGAGAGAGAGAGTACATGAGAGGGGGGAGGGTCAGAGGGAGAAGCAGACTCCCTGCTGAGCCGGGAGCCCGATGCGGGACCCGATCCCGGGACTCCAGGATCATGACCTGAGCCGAAGGCAGTCGCTTAACCGACTGAGCCACCCAGGCGCTCAAATTTTATCCTTTTAACAAAGCCAAGAGTATAATCATTTTTACTTTTAAATTCAGGCCTTAAAACAAAATTTGCCAGGTTAAGTGAGACAAGTTTGGAAAAACTGAAGCATCTGACTTTCCATAGCAAACTCCACCATTTCCCTGGGAGAAATAGCTGGAAAGGACACAAACAGAAAGACCTGGCCTGGTGAGAAGCTCATGGAATACTTAAAGCTCTTAATCCTGGCCTAGCCTCAGTGGCAGAGATCCACAGAAGTGAATTCCTAGCAAGCAAAATACTTTACTGATGATTTGCATCTGTAAGTTGTTAATAAAGTATGGTGCAGCTGGAGGGAGGGGTAAGTTAAGCAATGATCCAACTAAAGCTTCTAGAAGTACTACATTTCATATAAGTAGATTCTAGAAGAAAAATGAAATCAGAAACAGTGGAGTACATGAGTGCATGCATGCATTTATTTATCTTGCCTGGTTTCTCCTTTCTGCTCCTCATCCCTCAAAACAGCAAGAACCGTTAACGAGTAAGTTGTCACTTTAAATTCCCAACCTCAAATTCTGTCTCCTCTCACCATTATGTTATGCTCTCACTCCTTGTAACACTCCTCACTCCTTAAGTTTGGAGGAGTAGTTATAAGGAAGATAAAATTTTAACCAAAAAGAGCCCATCACAAAACTGTCCCGTTTATAAATACTGGGACGCCAAATTACTTTGAATATCAAACCACTAAGAATAGAAAAAGTTATTTGCTAAGGTGATAGCCTAATAACAAACATTTGCACTCTATGAAGTAAGGAAGCAGCAGTTCATGAGGACCAAAAGAAAGTATAAAATTAACAAGAATAGAGTTATGGAATATTTTAACTCATCTTAACGACAATGGAAATTTCCTGACAGTAAGATAGTGGTTGTATGTTCTGAACTGAGAAAAAAAAAAAATCTCCAACCCGCCAACAAGTACTAATGATAAACATATGTAAGAAAACATGAATGACAATAGAAATGTAATAGAATATTTTATTACTAATGCATTTAGTGAACACTTTAGAAGCTTTTCTAAGCACAGCTTTCTGTTTTCACGTAGATTCATAGGGGGAATGGGATCAATCCCTCACTCAATGAATCTAGTAACAGGTGAAAGGAAGTCTAATGGACCACTGGTGCTATAAACTTATACCTAACCTAAATTACTTCCTGTTCTCCCTAATACATTTGATAATCATTCTTTCATTTTTCTCATAAAACTGTAAGATTCTTTGTGAAACATAGGACTAATATCCACAGCCCTTTCAGTGTACAATAAAACAAACAGATCATAAAAGCAATCATAAAAATGCCAGCAATTTTAAGCAGCTGATACAGGTTGTAAATTTAAAGGCAAGTCTTCTAAGATTCTTCTGCCTACCGTTGACTTAATTGTTTTCAACATGAACCGAGTGTCTGCTAATTATAACTGAAACTTGTGCGCAGTCCTTAATTGTTCTTACAGCTTAAAATGTTGAAAGAGGTAAAAACATCAATTGATCCACTAGGGAAGAAAGGCAGGAGGAAAAATAAAGGCAAGCTGGCTAATCTTGGGCTCTCCCATTTCTTTAAGCTACAATGTTAGGAGCTTGACCTGCAATGAGACATGAATTTTTTAATTACAATATTTTAACATACCATTACTTCATAATCCGGGCCCAAGAGGTTTTCCCATCTAGATTTCAGCTCATTTTCTGTAGAGTCTGGGACCTTTTCTGGATTTAAAAAAAAAAAAAAAAAAATGAAGCTACTCTGAGCCAAACTTTACTAAATTCCTCAATAACAGCACAGTTCCAGTAAGTAAAAGGGAAATGAATAAAAAGGAAAATGCATTAACTTGGGTCTACCAGGTAAAGAAAATCAGAGGTGACTTATTAAGACTAACGTAAAATGTAAGGCCAGTTGTGACCAAACTATGAAGGGGCTTTTGTGAAGGACTATTTTAAAGGGAAGAGGGACATGATGAGTTAGAAATGAAATTTGAAATACATGCACTTTATACGTAAACATCCTGCAGTTTACAAGTAAAATACATCTGGCTTTGCTTACAATATGTTAAGACAAACAAGGATTGAATTTAAATGTTAATCACTTCAAAGTAATACCTTCCACTCACCCACAGAAAAAGTAAAAACTTATCAAGACATCTTTACCATCAACTGGGCGTATCAACACAATCCGGTCAGACTTCTCATTTGGGCAGATATAAAACCAGGTCTGGTTTAATTCAACAAAGGAGATGCATGAGCTTTTTTTTTTTTTAAAGATTTTTATTTATTTATTTGACAGAGAGAGAGAGAGCGAGACAGCGAGAGAGGGAACACAAGCAGGGGGAGTGGGAGAGGGAGAAGCAGGCTTCCCGCGGAGCAGGGCCCGATGCGGGGCTCGATCCCAGGACCCTGGGATCATGACCTGAGCCGAAGGCAGCCGATTAACGACTGAGCCACCCAGGTGCCCCAGATGCATGAGCTTTAACATACTAAAAACGCTGTGTACTTTGGTCTCATGTGGTTACTTGGTTATACCTTTGTGACTCTTGAGTAGAATATTGTTTTTGCTTAGTGTAAGATAACATTAAAGAACTAAGACAGATTTTAAGTGCCCTGCGTGTGCTCCATTATGATCTTAGCAAGAAGCTCAGGACACAGTTCATAGTCTAAATAATGCCTAATAGGCAAAAGTTAAAGTACTAAAAATACAATTTCAACTTATATCCATAGCAGTAGCAGAAAATAAACCTTTACCTTTTTTTCTTTAAGTTAAAACTCAATTTTGTCACAAGATTAAACAAGTCACAGAACACTTACTCCAGCTGACATAACCATCTAAAATCGAACATAACTTGCAATATCAGCTCTTTCAGTCTTCAGCATGGACAGCTCATCTTGGATGCATATAATGCTTAATTACATAATGCAAATCATCAAGTAAAGGCTAACCTCAGAATTCAGAGCCTAAGACTAATGAACACTAAAGAGCTTAACTCACTAGATGTACAAAAGAATATCCATGAAATAACTATCAACTGACATGCTAGGTTACATGTAAGGGATAACCAAAGATCTTATTAAAAGCAAAATATCATTCATGTGGGCTCTGCACCTTTTGCACTTCCGTAAGAAATTACGTTAAGAGTTCTACCATCTCTGTTAAATTTCCATGCAGCAGTTTCTTATCTGGCAAGCTAATTTGCAATGTTTTGGTTGAATCGTAAGCTTAAAAACATGATATTTAAAGATGACATTTCATACACATGTATAAAATAATGATATCTCACCTACAATTCTTTTAACTCTTCCATCTTTCATTTGTACAATGAAAGTACAGACAGTCATGAGTTTTAAAGCAGAGCACAAAGCTAAGTACCAGAGGAAAAAGACTATTTTCACAGACCAATAAATCCTGGGCAACACAAAGTGACTTAAAAAAATGAACAGGGTGATGATCTGAAACAATTATTCACATGGCAATGAAGGGGAGCAGAATATGCCACCCCAAAATATGCCATTTTAGCATGTAGAGTATTTTGAGCTGAAGGCAATCAAGACCCAGCAGACTCAGGAAAAACTTTTACCTCTCCCTTAACTACCTAAAAGAATTTAGATAGAAGTCACAGATCTGTACTTCTGAAACAAATAATGCAATATATGTTAAGAAGAAAAAAAAAAGAAGTTAGCAGGAGGGGAAGAATGAAAGGGAATAAGTCGGAGGGGGAGACGAACCATGAGAGGCGATGGACTCTGAAAAACAAACAGGGTTCTAGAGGGGAGGGGGGTGGGGGGATGGGTTAGCCTGGTGACGGGTATTAAAGAGGGCACGTTCTGCGTGGAGCACTGGGTGTTATGCACAAACAATGAATCATGGAACACTACATCAAAAACTAATGATGTAATGTATGGTGATTAACAATAAAAAAAAAGAATTTAGATAGAAGGCTTATACCAGAAAGAGCTATTACCAGAGGTAACTTTTTTCTCTGAAAGACCTATTGGCATGGCACAGCAAACTTTTAATTACCAAACATTTGCTTTTCTTACCATGCTGCGAATTACCCTCCTCATCTCTGAAGCCCCAGGCCTCTATCCTATTCCTTAATTTAGAATGGTATATAAACCTCAATTGCCCAACTTACTCTTGGGCCTCATATTTTTATGGGGCTCCCATACTTATGAAATTTGTTTTTCTATTAATCTGTTTTATGTCAGTTTAATTATTAGACCAGTCAAAGAACCTAGAAGGGAAGAAGGGAAAGTTTTTCTGCCCCTACAGCAAAAAAGACAGCTAACTTCTTAACAGTTCAATGACTTTGGTCTTACTGTCAAGCTGAAATTATATATATTCATGAAGGAAAAAAATGCAATGAGATTGATCCAAAAAAAGCAGATAAAAGTGTCTGAAAATATTTCTAACTTCAGAATGTATTTGATTTTCACGCAATAGTTCCATGAAAATCTATCTGGGTTCACTTGAACATAAATAGCAAAGATCTAACTTAATCCACTTGGGTCAAAAAGAATAAGGTAAATTTCCAAATTATAGGAAATTTTTTAACTTGCGTGAGGGGTTACTCCTTCCCTGAGGTCATCCTTTCCTGAGACAAGACAATCAAAGCCAAAACTTCTCTGCAAGAGGATGGTGTTAAGTATCCCATTTCATTCAACTGTCAAGGCTTTCCAGAGCACCCCTGTGCAGGGACTCGTGTGAGACTGCTATTCAAAACGTTTCCAGAACAGAGTCAACTATGTAGCCAAGGTATCAGAGTACAAGTAAAAGGACAAAGTCGCACATAAATTAAGAAGAAGATTAAAATATAAATATATAGCAATCTGGCAATTTGATAAAACATGTAAATATGTATACATTATGAATTATTATGGTAAAAGGAAACACTGCTATATGTATAGATAGCTAGATATCTACAGCTATATCAATGATAATACATGTTAATATATGCATTAATTAAAAATGCTGACAAAATTAAAAAATAGTTAACACATACTAATAAAAGTGCATGCAAGGGCGCCTGGGTGGCTCAGTTGGTTAAGCGACTGCCTTGGGCTCAGGTCATGATCCCAGAGTCCTGGGATCGAGTCCCACATCGGGCTCCTGGCTCAGTGGGGAGTCTACTTCTCCCTCCGACCCTCTCCCCTCTCATGCTGTTTCTCTCTCAAATAAATAAATAAAATCTTTTAAAAAAAAGTGCATGCAAAATTAAACAAAGATTAAACAATAACATGCTTGGTCCGCAACTGCCACAAGTGTTAAGATGTTGATATTAAGAATATCCTATTTTGGGGATGCCTGGGTGGCTCAGTCAGTTAAGCGTCTGCTTTCGGCTCAGCTTATGGTCCCAGGATCCTGGGATTGAGTCCCGAGTTGGGCTCCTTGCTTAGTGGGGAGGCTGCTTCTCCCTCTGCCTGCTTCTCCCTCTGCCTGCAGCCCCCTCTGCTTGTGTGTTCGTTCTCTCTCTCTCAAATGAATAGTCTTAAAAAAAAAAAAAAAAAAGAGTATCTTATTTTGGGGGCACCTGGGTGGCTCAGTCAGTTAAGCATCTGCCAGGGTCCTGGGATCAAGTCCCATGTCCCCTCCCTGCTCAGCAGGGAGTCTGCTTCCTCTCCCTCTGCCCCTGCCCCCGCTTATGTGCTCGCTTGCTCTCTCTCTCAAATAAATCTTAAAAAAAATCCTAATTTGTATCTTTCAAAATGCCTCTAAAATTTCTCACGTTATATTAACTATAAAGAGAGAAAATGGTTAACAAATGGAAAGTCATGCTTTGTGCCTACCTAATTTTTCTAAGGCTTGTATGTTGTCATTTTTCAGAATATCCATTCTTTCTTCAGTTTCCTCATCCCCGCCATCCAAATCAGTTTCAGTTTCCACGGCTCCAGTTAGGTAGCGGGCTGGTGTTTCCGATGGTTCTACAGCAGTTCCTAAAATAAGAATTGTTACCTTGAATCACTAGCAGCTGAAGACCATATTTAAGTGAGCTTATTCCAGTCCTGTTCACAACCTCATGACAAACACCTCAGGTAAGTTACATATATGATTCCTTTATTGAAATGGATAAGGAACCAGGCAATGGGAAGGTAAGATCAAGGTAAAGCTGTTGACAAAGCAGAAGTAGATACTTTTCCACATAGCCTTGGAAAAGAAAAAGAACACTGAGGTCTTATACTCTTGTAGTTGTGGTGGGTAAGGAGCAAGATATGCAGAATAAGCCCATTCCAGTGCCCTGGGCTCTCCTAGGTTCTGGCATGACTTCATCACGAGTTTAAAAAAAAATAACTCTAGGAATTGGAAGGGACTTGGAGAGAATTCCGCTGGTTGCAGTGGTTCCTCCCATCGCTAAAGTGAGCTAAGTAAAGATTTTAATCTCAAGCATGCAAGTCACTATGTATCTCTTAAAACACAAGAAAGGTTGAACAAGAGTCATTTTAGGTCATTTTTAAATGATCACACATGACGTATAAAGTATTCTTACCAAAAATATTTAACCTGGATCTAAGGCTTTCTATCTAGCTTCTCACAGGAAACATAGTGGATAGAGGAACAAGTTGAATTATACCACAAGGACAATTAAATTCAGAATGTAGTATTCTAGTGACAAATGGACAAATCCCTTTACAATAAGTCTGTGCCACAGAGGCAGGGGTGGGGGATTCTTCTAGATTAAGAAACCAAAGAAACATAATGCAGGCAGTAAGTCCAATGTGTGATTGAATCTTAATTTTATGAGGTTTTTCCTTCAGAGAGGGGGAAGAGGGGAAAAAAAGCTACAAAAGACATTTGGGGCCAATGTGTTAAGTATTTGATATTAGGGAATTACAATTAATTTTCTTTGGTGTGATATTATTATATAATATCTTTATTTTTAGAAACTACAGATTGAAGTATGTAGGACTAAAGTGCCATGATGTCTACTGTTAACTCTTAAATGATTAAGGAAAAAAGATAAATAGATGAAACTAATATGGCAAAACATTAACTGTTGAATCTAAATGGTAGTTTGTGGGTATTTGTTATATTATTTTTTGATTTTTCTGTATGTTTAAATATTTTTATAATACTGTTGACCCATGAACAATTTGGGGATTAGGGGCACTTCCCTTCCCCATGCAACTGAAAACCCACATAAAATTTTTGACTCCCCCCGCTCCAAATTTGACTACTAAGAGCATACTGTTGACCAGAAGCTGTTGATAGCATAGTCAATTAACATATTTGTATATTATGTGTATTATATACTGTATTCTTACAATAAAGCTGAGAAAAGAAAATTTTATTAAGAAAATCATAAGAAAATACATTTACAAAAATACAGTACTGTAATGGATAAAAATCCATGTGTAAGTGGACCTACACAGTTCAAACCTGTGCTATCAAGGGTCAATTTTTATAACCAGTTAAAAGTTCCCATGATCTTGGGGCGCCTGGGTGGCTCAGTTGGTTAAGTGTCTGACTTTTGATTTCCACTTGGGTCATGATCTTGGAGTCCTGGGATGGATTTCCATGTGGGGCTCCGCTCAGCAGGGAGTCTGCTTCTCTCCCTCTCTCTCTGCCCCTACCCCCACTAGGCACTCGTGCTCTCACACTCTCTCTCAAATAAAAATAAATACTGTAAAAAAATTTTTTTAAGTTCCTATGATCTTAACATGACATTTTTAACCACACATAAAATTTCTTAGATCATTAATCCATTGATACAGACGAAAAGCACACCCTAGTACTAGCCAAAGTAATATGGCCAGAAGCTGCTAGTGTCCCTGGGGAAAATAGTTACATACCAGAGTTTATAGTACAGAGCAGTACATGATGTAATTGAATGCTACAAGTAGTATCCAAACTGGTACACAAATAAGATGTACAAGGTATACAAACAGGAGTTTAGAGGCCAAAAAGACAGATTTAGAATGGTAGAGTAAGGTATTGCCCAAGAGCTAGAAGTCGCGAGGTTTGCTGCAGTAAAACAAACAAATGCTGGCTGTGAATGGCACACAAAAATGTTGTTACATGGGGCAGGAAACCAAGGCATCACCATTCCCCTACATTAGAGTGGCTGCACATCAAACAGGTGATTGCTGCAAGGTATGATAAATGCTACAGTAGAGCACTCTTCCAAGGGTGCTAGTAAAACCCACACGAAGGACCTCTCAACCACGGAAGAAATGCAAATTAAGAGTCAAAATTTATCCCAACATAAATTTAAAATGTAGGCATGCGCAGGGAAGAATTGCTAATTCGCAGATGACATACTTTATTTGATACAGTAGACTGAAGCCAAGGGCTCTATCAGAGCTATTAAAAACCATTATGTTGATATAAATATTTATGTAAACCTTTTAAGGTCAATATAGCATTTGTACAATATGTACTATTTAGGCGATTTTTAATTTCATACATACGATGCAGTTGAAAGGGCATCTTTCAGCAGCAAAATTTCCACTATCACCTAAAATTTAAAAAGTTCCGATTTAAGTATAAATCAGTATCAACTGAAAGCAAGGCTTCCAATAAAATCTTTAAAAAAAAAAAAAAAAAAAAAGCAAGGCTTCCAGGCTTATATTCTTCAAAAGAGAGGGGGGAAAAATGTATTCCTCTTCTGACAAATTCTAAAGGAATTATTCTTACTTACTAGTTCTCTAACTAGTAATTCATTCTACATTGAATTTGTTTTTCAGGATTGTCAAATTCTGTTGATCTACACATTAATAACTTGGTAATTAAAAAACTGGGATACATATAATTATGTATTTGTTCTATAATGAAAATTTGCTATTCTTTAATCAAAATAACAAGTATTTCACAAATAAAAATATCCTTAATAGAAATCCAGGTTTTATTTTTCCCCTCTGTATTTCAAAGAGTAAATCGGGAGACATTAGAATCAAATATATTAGAAGTCATAAGAAATCTGAAGTGTGCAAAATGTCAAAGCAGTAGACAAATGAGAGCCCCTAGAACAAAAGGTGTCAAAGCTTTATTATTCAAATATAAGTAATAAATGAATTTAGCAGCTTTTTTGGAAAAATGATTTCCATCTCCATTTAGAACAGCTCTCAGAGTTAATGCATGTCAGGGTTCGTGTTCTAACATTTGGACTGGCACATAATAGGCAAAGGAAACTCTTCTTCAATGCACAAATGAGCGGATTCATTTCTCCATCGCTGCATTACAAGAGATGGGCAGTTTTTCCTTCCCAGACTCACAGAACAACTTCCATAAGTAAGCTATTCTTCCAAGCCCAGACTATGGGGTGGGGAGAGGGATAGTGGCATTAACTACCTGTGTCGTATTGCATGGAGCACTGGGAGCTATATGCAAACAAGGAATCATGGAACACTACATCAAAAACTAATGATGTACTGTATGGTGACTAACATAATACATTAAAATAAATAAAATAAAATAAAAAAATAAAAACTACCTGTGTCTGAAGGCCATTCGAGTGGAGAAGCAGATGAAGATGTCTTCCTTCGAACTAGGGTTAGGTGTACCACTTGCCCTGCATTTCGTAATACTTCAACAACATCCTGGTTGGCAAAACCCTGAATATTCACACCATCGACCTAAAATATTAGGAGATCCATTACACAGAGGTTTCAAGTTAGCTGCTATTTTCAATTCTGACAAGGCAGAATAAAATTAGGCCTCTATCCCCTGCAAATCACAAGGCATGTCCTAAGCCAAGAGTCATGAAAGATGCTTCCTTAGATGGACCTGAAGGACAAAGATTCAAATGACACCAACAAACATTTGCTTCTATGTAAATCACTAAATTAAATGTGTGTGTCTATGCAGATATGTGTGTTTATGCTTCAAAAATATTATTCAAATAAACTTTAAAATTTAACCAATTTCTACTAAATGGAGAAAGACCAGCCTGAATGGACAAAAGGTAATTACTATATTCTCCAATATATAAAATATCTCAAATTTGTATGTACTCAAAATTACTGTTAGTAGAAACATTAAAAAGACCTGGTTAATAACTTACTAAAATGTATATAAAATGAGTGACTTTAAAGAACACAGAGGTGCTTGGAAGTCTTTTTCTTTAGGAGAATGCTGGAATATCTTTCCCATATGTGTGTGTGTGTGTATATATATACATATATATATATTTCCCCTACCATTATGGTTAGTGACTCCTTTCTTCACACACAGTAAAAAAAACAAAAGCAAACACAAAAAACAAACTTAGGACCCTGAGAGCCAAATCAATGAGATTTCACTGAACTTAATTTTTTTAAAAACATTATGAGATTATATAAAGCCATTCTCCTCTCATACACACTATAATCAAGATAACTTCTTTTCCCCAACTTGATTCAATTCTAAAACAAAGGGCAGTTACTTACAGCAACTATTTTGTCATTCACTTGAATTTGGCCGTTGTGGTAAGCAGCACTGCCAGGTATTATACTTTTCACATAAATCCCTGAAGCCTCCCCTGAGGTGCACAAAAACATATGGAAAAAAGAAGAAAGCTCTAATTAGACCTTGATTGCAAAATTCATATCAAGAGGTTAATTAGCTAGAGGGGCTGACTCGAGGCTTGATAAATACTATTTTGAACACAAGCAGAGAAACTGATGGGTTATTTCAAACTGTCACCACCACAAGTGACCCGAATTTGAAATGATGTGACTGATGACTATTTCTGGAAGTAATCAGTAATGGAAGCTGGATGAAACGCTCTCTACTATCAGGTGGAATTCAGGAGAACCCAGGCAGTCTCACCCTCTTCTTTTGGGCTGTCCCCCTTCTTCCTGTTGCTTTGGAGACTTCTCACTTTTCACCAGCACTAACACAAGAGTCTCCTACCTGGTCTTCCTGCCTACATTTAGTTCACTGCTCATGTTAGCTTCCCAGACACAGAAAAGTACACACAGTGTTTAAAAAAAAAAAAAAAAAAAAAGAATTTCAGCAATATTAAATAATCTTCACATTATAAAATATTTAAATACAAACAAATGGCTAAATAAAAATTACAACTATATAAAAAGTATACATGCCTATGGGCAAAGACTTAGAAGAGAAACTAGAAAATGAAAAACTGTAACTCTGGATGATTTTATATTTTTATTCTTTCATTTCAAATGAACTTAAAATATTGCCCATAGAAGAAAAATAAACATCAATGAATTCCTATTGCCTACATAATAAAACGTAAATTTCACAGAATCATATTCAAGGACTTCCATAATCTGCCCAAAACTTTTTTTTAAACTTATCTTCCAACTGCCACCCCACCAAGACAAAGTCCACACATGCAGGACTCTTGATATTTCACCAAAACATTAAGTACTGTCATGATATTATCCCTTTTATTTTTTCTTCCTATAAACCTCATCCCTTCTACCAAAATCCTTTTTCAAGCCCAGCACAAATGGCTCTCTGTGAATTCTTTATTTCGTTCTGTCAAATGTAATCTTTCATCTGCCATGATAGTTTGCTTATAGCTCTAAGACACATATTTCATTTACCCTTAAACAATTAAGAGTTATTTACATATTTTTCTCTGACTAGACTTTTCTTATATTCATTTTTCTATCCTTTCAGAACTAAGCAAAGTAACCCCCTCAAACATCCAATGAATAGAATAAAACAAAAATTACTCTGAAAGACTACATGTCAAATAGCATACTGAATTTTTAAATGCTCTAGTTTTTGGATTCACCATTGCCCCCCTCCAAGTCCCTAAAACTTCTTTTGAGAGTAAAGAAGTAAAATGACTCTCTTCTTTATTCAGTAACATACACATCAAATTTTCTCAATTTTCTATTGGTTATTCATTTCCATTTTACTTGGTGTGTATATTATACTGTTAGGTTTACAAGAACACTCCAAAAACTTAATATAATAAAGGTTCATAAGCCACAAGTTTATGAACTAAGCCATGATTTCTCTAACGTGACAGCATATTAAGAGCTATTCAATATAGTTTTTTTTCCCCAACATTATTATACAATCCATACTTAGCTCTTTTGGAATTCATTCAAATTCTGAACCTAATAAAGGTAGTACTTAGAAAAATCTAAAGGTTTAAAAACAGTTATTTCATTAGGCTAAAATAGCACAAGGTGGTCTGACATGAATTTCATTCAGGACTTTGAATACATTAGCACTCTTAATCTTTCCACCTGCTGTAAGTATGCAAAATAAGAATTAAAAAAAAAAATTAACTTTCTAATCTTGCTATTTTTTAAAAAACCAGAACATTTCATAACTCTGAATTCATGTTACTAGCAAATATTTATCAAAAGGTTTCTTTTTCCTTACTCTAATGATTGTCTTATAATAATAGATTAACTCTTACAATAAAAGTTACCAAAGCTTTGCATGTAGGAGTTGAGGGAGTGTTACTCAGAGATACTTGGGCCATGTATGTATTCTTACAACAGAATCCCTTTATTTGACAGGAAAATAATTCTGATTAAAGAATTTGTTTTATATTTTTTTAGTATAGTAATACTTTTTGACATTCATAGTATGAAATATATACAGTAATCCTTTTATATATCACATCTAAAACATCATAATATGTAACAGTCAATATTTAAAATACATCTTAAAAAAAAGAAAAACAATTCAAATGTTAATACATTGAGTTAGACAATTAAATCCTTTTGTTAATGACAATCAAGTCAGCTATAAAACTACTGAGATAAAACCAATTCTCTAATCACAAAGTAACTGGCTGCCACTATAGATACATGGTTTTATTATTCAGTATTGAAATTAAAATTTGCAGATATTTAATTTTACTATCTAGAAACCTTAACATCCTTTACAATTATTTCCAAATATAAAATAGAAATGATTCATTTACCCGTATGAGCAGTTCCAATATAGCCAACAATTCTAATCCCAAGACTCTGTCCATCTTTTTTAATGAGTTCAACATCATAAGTTTCAAAAAGAGAACTGTCCTAAAAGGAAAAAACAATTTTAATTATACATAATATTTAGTTCCATAACTGAGTGTAGTCAATTTGTGCATGGTTTGTCAAGTATTTTTTTAGAACCTCTGGCAGAATCTTAAGATGGTCCCCATGACTTTTGATTCCGGGTGCTATTCCTGTGTTTATGTTCCATTATGTGGCAAGGGCGAGATTATCCAGGTGCATCTAATCTAATTGGGGGCCTTTCAAAAGCAGTCTTCTGGCTGGCAGCAGCAAAGGAAGTGAAATTGAAGCATAAAGGCTGGACTTGTGGGTTGAAAATGAGAAGGTCCTGTGAGAAGTTATGCAGGGCACCTGGAGTTGCTGAGAGAGGTCCTCAGCTGACAGCCAGCAAAGGAAAGAGACTTCAGTCCTACAACTGCAAGGAACTGTATTCTGTGGACAACTCAAATGAGCTGTCCAGATAATGAGCATCCAGATAAAGAGTCCAGACAGCGCTTAATTTTGGCCATGCAGGAATCTAAGCAGAGAGGCCAGCCAAGCCCACCCAGACTTCTGACCTACACAACTATGAACTAACAAAGCCTGTTGTTTTAAGCCACTAAGTTTGTGATTTTTTTTTTTTTGAGAAAGAGAGAGCATGCGTGAGAAATGGGGCCTGACCCATGACCCTGAGATCATGACCTGAGCCAAAATCAAAAGTCAGACGCTTAACCAACTGAGCCAGCCAGGCGCCCCTTGTGATAATTTGTTATACAACAACAGAAAACTAATCCAGCCACTTAGAAAAAACTCAGGATAAGTTTTTAACTTAAAAACAAAACAAACAAGAAAACCCCAAAAACAACAACAAAAAACAACCAAATATAAAGAAACATTGAGAAACAAATGGTTAAGAATTACTGTGAATAATAATTATTGGGAGCAAAAAATATCAAACTAAAAGTTACTTTCATTACTTGCCTTCTATTAAGATTTTATTTATTTATTTGACAGCGAGAGAGGGAACACAAGCAGGGGGAGAGGGAGAGGGAGAAGCAGGCTTCCCGCCAAGCAGGGAGCCCGATGCGGGGCCCAATCCCAGGACCCAGGGACCACGACCTGAGCCGAAGGCAGACGCTTAACGACTGAGCCACCCAGGCGCCCCTAAAATACTTCTTTAAAAAGATTACGTGTCTAAAAACAGGATTCGATTCAAAACACTAACATTAGAAAGGAAACAGCTGATTGCATCAAATTCTTACTTATCACACAGCTACACTGGTCCCCACTGCTGAATTGAAGGCTCCAGAGAGCTAGAGTAAGGGAGGGGAAGAGAGTGGCTGTAACCAGTTTGGAGAGGAAAACAAAAATGTTAACATCTCAGACAGAAAGCTTCTCCTCATAAGGTGCCAAGTAGGGAGAGGCAAACAACGTTCTAGAATCGGCCCCCGAACGCACATGAATGATGGTCTTCCACCTCTTCCTGCCAAAGTCACTTCTTTGTTCTTCCCCTGCCCCTCCTTTTAAAAGCTATTTCTTTCCTTTTGGTTTATTACCCCTTGCTTCAGAGCCTGTGAGATGGCTGGAAAGATCTTGGAATGGACCAGAAAGATCTGAATTCATATCCCAGCTTTGCAACTGACACACTTTTTTTTTTTAAGATCAAGACCTGAGCTGACTGAGATCAAGAGTCGGATCCCTAGGTGCACCTGGGTGGCTCAGTTGGTTGGGCATCTGCCTTTGGCTCAGATCATGATCCCAGGGTCCTGGGGTTGAGCCCCATGTCGGGCTCCCTGCTCAGTGGACAGCCTGCTTCTCCCTCTCCCTCTACTGCTCCCCCTGCTTGTGTGCCCTCGCTTTCTCTGTAAAATAGATAAAATCTAAAAAAAAAAAAAAAACTTAGATGCCTAACTGACTAAGCCACCAGGTATCCCTCACTATATGACTTTTAAATGAGTAATTTGGATTTGAGTTCCTTCATCTAATATGATCTTATCTTGATGAAAGGATAAGGCCTATCTTGCAGAATTCCTGTGAGGATTTCAGATGACCTTGACAATTCTAGGTGTTTGATAATAGCAATGATTATTGTTATATCATTATAATGATTATAATAGATATTATCTATTTCCTTTGTTCATTCTGTTCCTATCTAATTTATACATTGACCAGTATTGTTTCCCCTCCAACATGTGAATGTCTCCTTACCACTCCAATAGAAATGGCAAGTATTGGGGTGCCTGGCTGGCTCGATCGGTAGAGCATGTGACTCTTGATCTTGGGGTCATGAGTTTAAGCCCCACACTGGTCATAGAGCTTACTTTAAAATAAATTTTTAAAAAGCCCTTATTTAAAAAAAAAAAAGAAATGGCAAATATTATTTTCCAATTTACAGATGAGTAGCTTTAGTGCAGGGAGGTTGGATGACTTAAGGCTGAAAAACAGCAAAAAAGGAAATCAAATTTGTCTAATGTCTCTAAACTGGGTTCTCTGCTTCACTGGTGAGCACTGAGGCACTACTACCACCCATGTGGCACTTTGAGTCGAAGGCACTTCTAATCTTGCAGGGTCTCACACCCAGTATTTAAGGTGAAAGAATCGTTTACATACTCACAGCACTAGGGCTCCTGTGAGCTACAGCAGGCAGGGCAACAGGTAAGGCTGCAGGGGTGGGAGGGGTTACAGAAATTGCACCAACTGGGTCTCTTGCAACAAGCATCCGGACTGAGTTTCCACAGTTCCTTAGCACTTGTGCAACTTGCTCGCTGGTCATTCCCTGCACATCTGTGCCACCAATCTTCAAGATGTGGTCCCCTGTCTGGAGTCTTCCATCCTTTAGTTGAAGAACAAAACAAAATTATTCCAAGAAATCAATGATCTAACTGCACTGGCTAATAACCAGTTCATTGGACTTTCAATTCTGGCACAATGGCTGACAGAGAATATAATATGCTAAAAAAAAAAAAAAAACAACAGTTTTAATGAATGCTGAACTGGCAACAGAGAAAAGGAAATCTTTGCCAAAAAAAAAAAAAAGATGGGGTGGAGAATGTGTTCAAAAGAAGAGTAACTAGAATTCTAAAATGGGTTATTTGCTTGAGGGCATCACTTCATGCCTACTGGCCTAGAGCCAAGGTATTCATGGCCACAAAGGTAAGGAAGAGATCAGAAAACCTTGGGCCTCAAGAAGGGAAGGAGGTTGGATCTGAGACCTCCGGCATCAAGCTAGGCGGCATCAAGCTAGGAACTCTGAAGGCCAACACACTCAGTGGCACATTAAAGGATCAGCAAGATGTCAGTGTGGCTGGAAGAGGGTGAGCAAAGAGAAGAGTATTCAGGAGATGGGAGCATTAACTGGAGGTCAGCAGTGCAGTCAGTGGAAAGGGAAGTCACTGAAGGGTTCTGAACAGAGAAAGGACACTATTGGACTTACTTTCACCAAGATCCCTCAAGCTTCTGTCCTGAAGAGAGACTACAGGACAGAAAACAAAAGAAGCCAAAATACCAGTCAGGAAGCTAAAACAACCTAGAAAGAGATGGCAATGGACTAGGTTAGCAGTTGTGAGGAGGAGACTCCAGATGTCTTCTTAATGAACTCTCAACAGGCTCTACTGATAGCTTCTACACGAGGGGTGAAGGGGAAAAAGACTCAAAACTCCAAGTTTTTAGGCTAAGCAACTGGGTAGACAGCGCTATTAATTGAGAGAAAGAGGGCTACAGAGGAATGGATGGGTGGGAGTAGAAATCAGGAGTTCAGTTTTAGAGATATCCAGTCTGAGATCCTATTAGACATGCAAGTGGAGATGTCAAATATGCAGCTGGATATACAGATGTGGAGTTCAGGAGAGATGTCCAGACCACATATTTAAATTTAGGAGTCATTAGCATATATAACGTATTTAAAGTCAGGATTCTGGGAGAATTTAGAGAAAAGATACATAATGTTCCATTTTTAAGCTGGGGATATCTCCATGGGTAATTATTACTATTGTTGTTGTTATTTAAAATGTTTTATTTCTTAAACTAAGTGATACATACATTGGTGATTGTTGTCATTACTTAAAATGTGCACAGCCATTATACATACTTTTTTAGATACTTTTAAATGTGTGTATTTCATACCCAGAAAAGTTTAAAACACAATATATCAAAAAGTACATCAGTTCAAAATGTTTAACATTTCTATTCCACCTCCATTTGTCAAATTCTTGAAACAGCGGATCCATCTACATTTTGTTTCATCAGAAATTTTGAATTCTCTTTACTTACCTTTACTATATTAAAGTTACCAAGATGTAAACACAGCTGGCTACAAAAAATACCTGCCTAGCACTTTACAGGTCAAAAATCACTTTTTATATATCATCTCACTTAGAGAGGGACAACTTTAAAATGAGCAAATGGGATTCAGAAAGGCTGACTGACTTGACCAAGGTTGCAAAGCTACTGAAGAGCGGTTCTCATTTAGTCCTTTGTCTTACACTTTGATACCTCCAGAATGACAGTAGTAGACAATAAATTTACTGTTTTCCTATTCTCCAAGAAACTGCCTATTACCATCAAAATGCTTAAATAAAATGAAGAGGAAAAGTAGGTATTTTGCAACTGGGAGAGAAGGACAGCCTGAGAATAGAGCAAGGATCATCGGGCTTGTACAGTGCTAGGCTTCCAATTCCTGGCTCCAGGAGGCACCATCAATAAGGCATAGATGAAATTCAGAAGAAAAAAGTAAAAAATAAAAAATAAATATAAATATAAAGCCTTAAGACTAAAAAGTCTATTCTCCATCCTTCCTTTTCCTCAATTTTGCAGGAACCTGAATAAAGGTAGGTATTAGATCCAAGTACTGAGTAAAAAGCTATGGGCTTTGTTGTGAGGTCTGCAGAAGGCCCTAGAAGCTAGTGGAGGGGGAGAAGAGGAGGAAAACAAATGCAATTCAATTCAGAAACATTTGCAAAGACTCAGAGAAAAGACAGATGAAAGAGGAAATAAGAATTAGTGGATTTCTACTTTAAGCACTGGTAATTTGATATTGTATCAATGCAACAACCTGAAATAAAACAACTCCTCAAGAGAGTCAGTGGTCATGATGAAAAACACTGGTGAAGCGGCCTCTGTAAATCAAACCATCCTTGGCCTGACCAAAGAATAAAGAATATGTCAAATAAGTGAACTTGGCTTGGCCAAAGAATGCCACTTCACCGTAAGTTCATATTTAGTCACCTCTAGGCACTATTTTTTTTCCTATTTTACCTCAATTCAATTTAAAATGATGTAGATAATATGCATCTGTCACTGAAAGTCAAACATTTTCTTCTTCCAGAAAAACAGGTGTTCTGAGGAATTCATAAGTGCAAACACAGTCATTAGATTGATAGGAAAGACACCAAAATGGCAGCTACCTTGTTTAGGTCCAGCAGCCCCAAACACTGCATTTTACTGATATTTTTTGATCGACATTCTCCTTCCATAACCTGTCTACTGTGCAAGGAAATTAAAAGGCATAGAGCTCCTTTAGTTCTTTAACAGAAATCATAAATCAATGACAGCCAATAAACAGCTAAGCCAAGATGCAAAGATATAGCATGCTAATCAAACATTCAAATATAAAGGTTTATTAACCCATAGGGTCTTTCAAAAGAGAAAAATAATTAGGCATATAGCCTAAGATAGTATGGAAGGCACAAAAATTAAAACAGCTGATGTAATAGAGTACCCCACATTACAGTGAAAAGACTCAAAGTATCATTTATTCACCTTTTAAAAAAAAAAAGATAAAATACTTTAATCCAAGTTAGCAGGTATAGGCTAAAAAATATATTATTTTGCATTTTAAATTCCTTGATAGGCAGTTTGGAGGATAATTTCAATTCAAAAAAATATTTGAGGGGCCCCTGGCTGGCTCAGTGAGTAGAGCATGCGACTCCTGATGTAAGGGTCGTTGAGTTCAAGCCCCCGACATCGGGCATGGAGCCTACTTTAAAAAAATAATAATTTTTTTAAATATACTTTAATAAATAAATAACAAAATATTTGAAAACCTAAAGGAATTTAGGCTTGAGCTGCAAAATAAATCAAATTTGTTTCTTTGAAAACTAAAACACAGAAAATAAAATTATTACTAGGTTTGATTCCAGACCAGTTCTATCATTGGTCTTTAATCAAAAGGCAACATAACATAGGCAGAAAATAGCAACTCTTTATAAACTCTTTTCCTCAAGGAATTAGAGATACTACATCTAAAAACATCTATCTCATCTTCCTCAAATTCCCAGAGCCCTCATCAACTGATTTTTAACGATAAGGAAAAGATCTGTTTATAGACTCACTCAAAGCAAAATTTCTTGGGAATAATCAACTATTCAGTGGCCTCAGGCTGGGCCTTGCTTATTCTAGACTAAAAATTCCTCATAGTACACACCCACCCTCCAATCTCTGCTTGGTTACATACCTCCTTAGTATGAAAGATTACGGGATAGTTAACATGACTCGTAATTGCCCAATACCAAAAAGTCAGTAATTCATGACTAATTTTAAAATAGACTGCATTGTTATAGTTACCTTCCAGGGAAAATGGAGTTTACTTAGTGTACCTGATTCCCCTAGAATTTCTCCAGACCACAAGAAAGTTACTTCTGTCAAATGAAGTTTTACACTACCCATTTTCAACTAAAAACAAACTTCTGTTGAAAATTTTTGCCACAGCTGAACAGAATTCTCAAAAGATGTATGTTTCAGGCACTGTGATTTTTGGAGACTGAAGTTACAGGTAGATATGGGCTTACGGACTTATAGGTTTTAAGACTGATGTATTATTATATATTATAGGTTATAGATTTAGAATATAGATTATAAAGCTCCCCTTACACGATACCATGTAATTTTCCTATCCATGGAATAGGGCCTGAGTGCATTTACTGACTGGTCATTGTAACTAAATCTCAACAAGTGTTTCCTAAAAAGCTCATATGAATCACTATTTTTCAATTTCATTTACTTTGTAACATTAGAGGCAGCAGACAGCAGAAGGACAAGTACAGGCTTTGGAGACAGACACCCAAGTTCAAATCCTGGCTCTACTTTGATCAAGCTGTAGAGCCAAACGTCAGCTACTTATTCTCCCTAAATCTCAGATCCCTCTTAAGCAAAATGGGAATAAATCCCTCTCTCATTGATTTGTGAGCATTAAACTCAATTACTATATGTAAAGTCTTTAGCCTTTGCCTTGCTTATAGCAAATCATCAAATGCATCCATTTCTGACGCCCCTTTAGGCTGCAGTGACCTCAGTCAGGTGTTCTTAGGCATATTCCCTCAACTGTACCCATCTTTTAACTGTATATCTGTAAAAACAAAAGGAAATATAAAAGGCTGTTTCATGAAACTCTTCTGAATAAGAAATACAAACTTCCTTCTCTAACTTTCTATTACCTCATTTTACATTCTTTGAATAAAGATTGATTAACCCCATTAGCTGAGCATAGGTATTACTTTATGATCAATCTTGATCACATCTAAACTAATGACCTAAGACATCTATATTCCCTTATCATAAAGATTGCCATAGTCAACAGTGAGCATTAATATTCAAAACATGAGTACATTTTAATTAAAAGCAGTAATTCCCTTTCATTCTTTTAAAGCTATGATCAGCCTACATGAGCAACAACTTGTAAAGGCTTGGCAACAATGCACAGAGCCAGTTTAAGAGATCTTATCAGCCATTAGCTCAGATAAGAGAGAGGGGATGGCTCTGTCTGTCATGTTTAGGCCTCACCATATTCCCTACAGGAAAAAGACAATAGTTCTTTGCTTCTAGAGCTGGCTATTACCT